ATGGATTACTCACTGGATTCACGGCACTGCCTCAATATTTTGCGATTAGCTATCATCAGTGTCGTTATAGTTATCTCAGCCAGAAGGATGTTGCAAAAGTAGACGAAGGATTTGACAATCATGATATTCCCTATGATGTTTTATGGTTAGATATTGATCATACTGATGGGAAAAAATATTTTACGTGGAACACATATAATTTTCCAGATCCTGAAAAAATGCAAAAAGATCTTATGGTAAAAGGACGAAAGGTTCGCTTTTTTATGACCTTAAGCATACTCTATGCATATTCAACATCGGTATGGCGCAATTTTTATTAAATGTAAATCCATTATTAGATGGTAACGATCATTGATCCGCATGTCAAACGAGATAACAATTATTATATATACAAAGAAGCCAACGATCTAGATCTTTTTGTCAAAGATTCTCATGGTCGAGCATATGATGCGATATGCTGGCCAGGCACGTGTCTTTCGATCTTACTTTCAAATTTATAAATTTATTTTATTAAATTATATAAAAAAACAGGTAGTTCCTCATGGGTAGATTATACTAATCCTTCAGCTCAAGAATGGTGGAGTAAAAAGTTTGCATTTGATCAATATAAGGCAAATTAATACAAGTTTTATACACCTAATACGGATAAATTTGGGCATTATGCATCAAAGACATTAACTATTACGCATAACTCGATTTCATTCGAAGAAAATTACCTTCTTTGATGCCTAATGTCAAATTGTCCGAATCAAGTTTACATCCCTATATTTAATTATTAGAATATTCATATACGATAATAACTTATATTTTCTTTATAAATTTAATAGGGATCAACGGAAATTTTATTCACATGGAATGATATGAATGAGGTATCGATTCTTAATTGTGTATCCAAAGTTTTAATACTGTAGCTCATCTAAAATAAATTAACTGCATGAATCTAAGCCATCAGTATTCCAGAGCTATGAACAGACAATGCCGAAAGATCTTATTCATTATGAGGGTTGGGAACATCGAGACTTGCACAATATTTATGGCCTTTGTTTTGTGAGTTCTGTGA